TCTCTCTCTCTCTCTCTCTCTCTCTCTCTCTCTCTCTCTCTCTCTCTCTCTCTCTCTCTCTATCTATCTTCTCCNAGCATGTGAGGTGAATGTGTGATGAGCAGATGAAGCTCTGTATCTGCAGTGCTGCTGTCTGTCAGCAGTCCCTCATTGGGTTTTTTTGTCCATTCTGGTATTTAGTTTTTGATTTCCGATGTATATCCAGGCCAAGCTTTCTCCCTGCGTCTCTCTGGCTCAGTTTGGCTAATGATTAGAGCAGTCTGTGAGCTTTATATGTGGATTATTACTCACGCTGCGTCATTAAACACACACACACACACACACACACACACACAGGTCTTTCTTTCTCCTTGTGGAGTGAACGTCATGTCATTCATGTAGCTCAGCCACAAATATCTGTGTAATGACAGACAGCTTGTCAGATTCTGCGATGTCGAAATGTTTGTACGTCAATTGTGCAAATGCAACAGTGAGACATCTAAAAACTACTGACATATTTTTTATCTATCTATGCACACTACCTGACAAAAGTCTTGTCGTGGATCCCAGTTACCAGCCCAGCCCAGTCACAAAACGTGAACATTTTTGAGCATGTCTGGGATAAGATGAAAGAGGAGGCATTGAAGATGAATCCAAATAATCTTGATAAGCTCTTAGAGTCCTGCAGTTATCTGAGTCATTGCAGAGATGTATAGATGCAGTCCTTCAAGGTCATGGGAGTCACAATATCAATCGATCGACCGACCAACCTTCCTTCATTTTCATTGTTGTTTTTTTCTGTCTATAAAAGTGTAAACTAAATATTAGTTTGGGTTTCTGCGTCTACTATTAAGCTAGTGTTTATTATTTATTATCTAGTATGTCTTAGTATGTAATTTGAACTGTAAAGGTCACACACATGCTTACGGTTGTTTTTTTAAATCTTTTATTTGATTTGTTTTGTCTTGTTTTTGAGGACAGACTTGAGGTCAGAGGCTGAACATTAATCTCGAAGCTTGTTTATAATTGTTGCGTATGGATGCTATGCACACAGGGGTAGTACCAAAGGCAGCTTTATTATGAGAATGGCCAGACAGGCAGGGATCAAAAGCCAGCATTAACAGTGTAGTACAGAAGCCAGAAACGTAATCCAAAAACAGGCGAAAGGTTCAGGACAGGCAGCAAAGAATCAAAACACAATAAACAGTGCAAAAACACAGGAGACAAGTAAATATGCTTACGTAAGGACAGCAACAGCTAAACAATACTCAGCAACTTGTGTGTGTGGAACAGAGTGGTTTAAATAGTCCAAATAATCAGTGGTCATGAGTATCAGCTGTGTGTGTTGCATGACTGGGTGTTGTAGTCCATAACCTGGCGGATTTGTAGTTCATATGAATGAGAGTGTATTTACCGGCCATCTCTGGTGGTTAGATCGCTTGGGATTGTGACAATAATGAAGTGCGCATGTGTGTGTTTGTGCATTACATGTAGTTCTTTTGTCAGCAGTTTTATACTGTAGTTTTGGTGGTTTTATGCTGTAGTTTTGGTGGTTTTATGCTGTAGTTTTGGTGGTTTTATACTGTAGTTTTGGTGGTTTTATACTGTAGTTTTGGTGGTTTTATACTGTAGTTTTGGTGGTTCATAAGGACAGACATTTGTAAGAGGTCATGAGTATGACCTAGTTGTACTCTCTTAAGGTGTTTTTTGAAGACATGGCTTGTGTCCTTGTAATTCAAAACACTTAAAATCTACTTAACAGGGTTTTTCACATTCAAATCTTGCCAAATGAGGGTTGGGTTTGGGGATAGAGGTCATATAATAAGCATGTTTTACTGTATAAAAATACATTATGCCTATGGAGAGTCCTCATAAACCACCAATACCAGCATGTGTTTGTGTGTGCATGTAATCTCTTAAACCTCATACATCACATCATGTTCAGTACTTCATTTCCCAGCCTACTGACCACATGATGAACTTTCATCTGATCAGCCGCTGGCCTTTAGACCTCCATTATTCACTGATGCATTTGCCTGGTTTCATCAATACAGGTCAACTTTCAGGTTCTGTTAGTAAAACCCCATTCATTTACTCCATAGAGGAATTGATTTATTTAACAATAATCGATAAACCCTTAAAGAAACAACTG